ATTGATGTTTCCTACGCGTTAACTCAGACGAGAGGACCATATTGCAAAGTTTTCCTGATTACTGCTTACTAACGACACCCAACCTCTTGATTTTTACTGAAGAGTCTTGAAAAACTAAAAAAATAAGAGTTTGATTTTTCTCACTTCAGTCTTTTCATAACCTGCCGGTCACAAGAAAATTGAGAATGATGAAAGAAAATGACAACAGGAGATGAGAAAAAAAAATGGAAAGAAGTGAAAGTTTGACCCATAATGCACACAGTTGTCCAATTTTCTCTGCAACTATCCAGAAGATAGGAAAAATCGCTCAAAAATTGAATATCAAAGGGTGAAAGAAGTTGGCTACATAGCAAATGACAATGCCAAAATTGCTAAAATTATAGCGGACCATTACGAGTAGAAAAAACGTTTGGATATGCACTTTGACATAAAATTAACCCCTAAAAAATTTTGTGAACTTTGTTTGTTTTTTCAAACAACAGCAAAGAATATTAGATAGCGCAGCAGACTCAAACCATTGAGAGTGACTCTCCCCAAAATGGCACTACAACAAAAATTTGCGAACGTAGTTCTCCAAGAAACAAAAGCCGTTCAAATAGTCAACTGTTATTTGAAATCTTAAAGAATAGAAGGGTTAATTTTTTTCAGCTCAATTTTAAAACTTCGCAAGTTTTAAAATTGAGCTGAAAAAGGCTCAATTTACTAAGGCTCCCCAAAACGGCTTACTTGTACTAAGGCTCCCCAAAACCATGACCACGGATTTGGGGAGCCTTAGTACCCTCCCCAAATCCGTGGTCATGGTTTTGCATTCGATAAAGTTCTCAATAAACAATGTAAGCGAAATCAATTGCAATTATTATTACTATTTTGAATTTTTTGTTTTATCTTCTGTTTACTTATTTTAATACTTTGTTTAATTTATTCTATTTATTCGTATTTTATTGATGTTTCCTACGCGTTAACTCAGACGAGAGGACCATATTGCAAAGTTTTCCTGATTACTGCTTACTAACGACACCCAACCTCTTGATTTTTACTGAAGAGTCTTGAAAAACTAAAAAAATAAGAGTTTGATTTTTCTCACTTCAGTCTTTTCATAACCTGCCGGTCACAAGAAAATTGAGAATGATGAAAGAAAATGACAACAGGAGATGAGAAAAAAAAATGGAAAGAAGTGAAAGTTTGACCCATAATGCACACAGTTGTCCAATTTTCTCTGCAACTATCCAGAAGATAGGAAAAATCGCTCAAAAATTGAATATCAAAGGGTGAAAGAAGTTGGCTACATAGCAAATGACAATGCCAAAATTGCTAAAATTATAGCGGACCATTACGAGTAGAAAAAACGTTTGGATATGCACTTTGACATAAAATTAACCCCTAAAAAATTTTGTGAACTTTGTTTGTTTTTTCAAACAACAGCAAAGAATATTAGATAGCGCAGCAGACTCAAACCATTGAGAGTGACTCTCCCCAAAATGGCACTACAACAAAAATTTGCGAACGTAGTTCTCCAAGAAACAAAAGCCGTTCAAATAGTCAACTGTTATTTGAAATCTTAAAGAATAGAAGGGTTAATTTTTTTCAGCTCAATTTTAAAACTTGCGAATTTCACCAAAAAATAAGAATGATGAAACAAGATGAATATAGGAGACGAGAAAAAACAAAGAGAAGAGATGAGACTGTAAAAGCTCAGCCATTTAGGAGTCAAGGAAAAATTTCTCTCAAAGACTCGCGATAGGGACCATTGTCTCAGCTGACAGCGCATTGACATCGCGAGTTTCAAATCTTAGACGAAATGTCATTTAAACCGTTCGATCTAGCAAACATACGGGGCCCCGACGAGCTATGAGACGGGCAAAAAGCGGGGGAAGCCGCTATGGGCGCAGCTTCGCACCATACACCGACCGACCCGTTCGTTCATCATCAATGTAGCTACCGGGGCAAAGTGTTGGGGAGGGGGGGGGGGGGGGAGAATGGTAGACGTAATACGATTAGTTTCGTCCGCTAGCAAACACTAAGCGTACACTCTCTCACTTATACATACACTCGGATGCAACCAAAACCGCCCTCATGCTAAGCGCGTGAAAAAAGTTCATAAGCTTAACGCGGGGGAGGGGGGACGTTACATGCACAAAAACATGAGATTATAAGCTAGAAGATAGCTTATCAATGTGAGGTACAAAAGAACTAACGTAGTCTCGCCTAAAACCACACGCAACCGGCCTTTGAGCTACAAGTAGGGAAGTAGGAAATGCCAAAAGAAATAATAACAAGTTCTGCGTCAAAGAATGTCACTTTTCTTACAAATGATTGAAACAATTGACAATTCCAGATGGCACCTTTTGATAATGGGTTTTCTGTCAGGAAAACGTGTTTGACGATAAAGAAGGCGTGGTAGTAAAGAAAACTAGAAATGATGCATGAGTTTGACAACATTTTGCATTTGAAGATAGCACAACAGGTAGGGAGAACTTCAATTTCCTTTTCTGATGAATAGCGAAAGAAAACACAAGAACTAATCAATTCAGAATTTCCGAGCATGAAGATTCATACTATGTTTTCTTTGACAAAGCTCAAAAGGTACTGCCCACCCACCGATCTGAGATTTTTTGAGATTATATTGCAGTACAATAGCGAGGTTTCTAAGTTATTGCGCAAGTCCCGCTTCAGAATGTGTATTCCGAAGCGAGAAAGGGGCTGGTAAAATTGGATGTTGCTGGGGTCGCCACGCCCATCAACTTAGATGGCCTATATGTAACATCCAAGAACTGAAATCAGTTATAGCTAGAAATTTCGAAAATCCGTCTTTTATTACGGAAAACACGTTATGACATTTCTAGGTACTCTAGAGTCCAAAATCCGCTAGACCACCCGCATTAATGGGCGTGGCGACCCCAGCAACATCCACTTCCTGGAGCGATTTTCACGCTTCCTAATAAATCTTTTACAGCGGGACTTGAGAATTGCTGGTTAGAGACCTCGCTATAGTATTGCATAGATCTCACCGACCTCAGAATTTGTGTGGAAGTGACTTTGACCCCTTTCTGCCAAACTGTTTACTTAACCTTTGATTGGACATGTATTTGATCCCGCGGATAAAAAGATGAGGCGAGATCGAAAAGGAAATGTATCCCTTTCCGACATTTATAAAAACAAAACTGAGCTATACAGCGCTAAAATAAAGTCGGAAATGCGCAGCTTTGACAGAAAGACTTTGTAAAGAAATTCTTGATACTAGTAAAATCAAAAGATTCCGTAACAGTGCGAAGAAGGAGAGATTCAAGTATTTTAACGAGTATAGGATATGAATTATTGCCATAAAAATGATTACACAAACGATGAAATGGTACAATTACCATGAATACATGTCGTACAAGGGTAATAAGTTGAAAAACTCCAGGTACACAAGTCTTACAATGGAAATCTTCTTCTTTCATATCTTAACGGAATTATAACGACAGGCGCTGAAACAAATTGCCTACCGTTTATGGTTTCTTGGGGGCGTGCATGAAGGTTCTGATCAGGGGAAAGGCCGAAACAGCTTATTTCTTCTTTGCACATCTGTGCTCTACAAGATCTAGCTGCATTATACGCATTTGCCCAGTACCGTACTCAAGGACGCTGATTGGTCAGCGCATAAAAAGTACGGTACCGGGCAAGAGTAATATTCTCGGCAACAGATGAATTATACGTGCTGCCGCTTGGTCAACGGTTTAGTGGAAACCTTCTCCCCCCCCCCCTAAAAACTCTTCACATGAAGAAGCCCAGGTGCTGAATTAGCCTGGTCACTCCTCCAAATTTTCATTGCAAAGTTTTCACGATTCAAATTCGCAACAAAAAAATTCCAGTTAAACCTCCACCAGCCTTAGGAAAAACCAGAAAATGAAACCTGCTGACTTGGACAACGACATTGACCAGCCATCGTAATTTTTTATGATTGTGGTAAAGAAACAAGACCCGCGACAATCGATGTGTCATAATAGTATTCAAGTGCGTAATGAGCTAGGTTTCGCGACTTTCGAAGCGGAACGGGTTCAATTAAATTCCTTTTCGTTGCAATTATTATGGAAACTATACGCACAATCGTAAGGCAAGTTTTTTGAGCACGTTCGCTCGTAACCTTGACTTTAAGAGTGCTTCACTGTAGGGCAGGTTGGAAAAGAAAAATACCTAGGGCGACAGCATAATATATGGTAGAAATTCGCAGCGCCAAAGCACTGCTTCACAAACAAGGAAGTCCATCATCAAGAAAAACTTTCTACTTTATCCTATCATATCCATTTTCATCATATCCACCTAAACCAGGCGCTCAAAAGTCCCAAAAAGATTTTCTTTTCATGTTAGATGGGCGTGGTCACGAGTCACACCGAGTGCTTGTTAGTTGCTGGAATGAACCGGCCAATCGCCACTCACATAGGCGGAGATATTTAACCGTCACCCGTCTACTTGGTTCACCGGCCAATCTCTGCGTAGGAAGCCTAGTCTGCAAGAACGCCCATGATGCACATTTCTACGGCCAAAAATTACTTTAAGACTCTTTGCAGGTTCTTGAGCTAATTCCAAGCTTCTCTATTTAGAAATTAGATCGCGCAAGTCTCCCTTTGATTCAGCTGGCTTAGCGGCTGGAAGGCGGGGCTTCGTGACCTAATTGAGGGTAGGTAATGGACAGAAAGCACGCGCGCGGGAGATACGCAGACTGCGTAGTAAGCTCGATTGGCCCTAATTAGGTCACAAAGCCCCGCCTTCCAGCCGCCAAGCCAGTTGAATCAAAGGTTACGATGCCTTTGAGGCGTTGCGCATTTGGCTGAGAATTCAGCAATGTGATGAAGTATATTCATAATTAAAGGTAGCGACTCAGAGGCATTGCTGCTGCCACGACGCTATCGCATCTTATAGATTTCTAATCGGTAAATATTTTGCTTTTTTGATGTAACCATTTTTTAGAAAAATAGATAAAAATTACAAAACAGTGAAAACAAGCCTAAAAATTAACTCACGATTTGCCCGCTGATGTTGGCAAAGAAACCATTCACCGATCTTCGAGCATTCAGTTCGATTTGAGCAGCTTGCGTGGCTCGACGTAATTTGCTCGCATCTGTCGGTACAAATGTGCCAAACAGACTTGTAATGGTGGGACTAAAAGAAATCCAATCATTATCTTCTGAGCTTGAGTTCCCTCGAAAATTCTTTAAAAGTCAACGGACCTCTTGCTTAGTATGAGCAGGGGTCGTGCGGCAGCTGCGCTTTCACAAGGTTGAGCTTGCTTTACCCATCCGGTTACGTCATAGGTAGTAGGGTAGCATGACATAGCATGCTCCAAAACAAATTGGAGTGGACGACTGGCGCGACGGATAAGTCTGTAAGACATGAGTCTACTCAAAATGTCTGAACCCGACATTAAAGGCATTGTCCGGGCAAAATTCCAGTTCTTCACCTTTTCAGAGCCTTCTTGCCATGAGGAACCCATATCTGGGATTTTAGAGCATGTAAATGGCAAAAATGAGCCGTTCAAAAGCTTTCCAGGTCCGCACAATGAAAATATGTCGGAAGTCTTCCGCACCCCGCCTCCCTAGTTTCGGACTCCGCCCACTGCCGACTAAAAAGCTTCGAGAAAAGCTCTTTTTTGCCAATTTGATGCTCCGAAAAGCCCAGATATGGTTTCCCCATTGCGAGAGGGCTCCGAAAAGGCGAAAAAGTAGAGAACGAAATTTTTTTTGAACCTAAAATCACCTCGATTCATCTCCCAAATGCACAAAAATTCTTTCCAACAGACTCTCATCGGTTGCACCCGGGAACATCGATTCTTCCTCAAGTATTGCCAGTAAACCTCGTTTCTCCTCAGAACGTCGTTCGATATCCGTACATGCCAACTATAAACACACAACATTTCAGGTTTTGGAGTCCTCATTGGCCTAATTCATCGGAGTAGGAAAAGTAGTATGGCACAAACCAGTTGTTGTTTCTGGTCCATGAGCCTGTTCAGTGGACATGGGGAAACGATGGGCATCTCTACTTCAACATCTATTTGCTCACGGGAGTAAATCTGTAAAACTTATTAACTTGTAAAAAAACAGAAAACGCAAAGCAAGTGGGGTTCAGTCCACAAAATTCAACTAAATTTACCTCCTGTGCTTCCACAAAACAAGCATCGTAAAATAACTCGACAACTCGTTCATTGATGTAATTATGGACAAGTTCATTCAATCCGAGCAACTTTCTGCCGGATGCATCGGTCCAGTTGACGTGGAATGAAGATCCCGTGAAATCTAGGACCTGGAAGCACACCACCATTAAAATTTCCTTCATTCTTTACAAGTGCACATAAAAGAAACCTGGCTATTTCAAGAATTTTTATGTGAAAATGATTGGGAGGCCTCAAGTAAGCGTTAAAATTACAAATCAATTATTCATTTGCGGCCACAAAAAGCAACAATGAGCTCTCGCCCAGGCCGTACTCCCTACCATATGCAGTGCGCTGATTCTTCGGAAAGATTACGGTCTGGGCGAGAGTTTGAAGGTGAATCCATTGGCCATGATCGGATTGTATGAGCTGCAGGTTGGATGATGGCTTGGTTAATGTCTTCCAAATCGCTTTCCACATAAAAAAGTCCAGTATACAAATAGAGTAGAATTTAGCCACCTTCTGTCCTTGACATAGACCCTTTGACTTAACTGGGTTGTCGGCTGGAAGGCGGGGCTTCGTGACCTAGTTAAGGCTAGATAATGATCAGAGAGCACGCGCGCGAGAGCTACGCGGAATGGTAGCGGGCGCGAGGGCCACAATTAGGTCACAAGGCCCCGCCTTCCAGCCGCCAAGTCAGTTGAAAAAAGGTTAGTCTCGTTAAGACCCTCCCGATTATTTCATTATTTACGGAACCCAAATCCACTCACAGAGATCCATGTGCATGCCGCATTTGATGAAAGTGCTTTGTTGATTGATTCAACAATTGTGTAGAACAGCTCTTGGTAGAGACCAGCACAGAATGAGATCAAAGCTTCAGGAGCATCAGGTCCACGAGACGAGGTGAGCGCAATACGACTATAAACATTGTTAATCTGTCAGATTGTCTCCGAAAGGAATTTTTCAGATCATAATTTCAAAGATTCTATGCTCTGGTGATAATTCACAGTTTATTAGAAACCCGCAACGTGCACAAGAAGGCAATTTTGACTCCGCGCGTGATTTACAGAAGTCTGCCTAAAAAATCCCGGGAAAATAGGCACTTTCTCAACTATTTTTAATGGCATAACGCTAAGATTTTCTGGTATCCACCGAGAGAACTGCTATCAATTAGATAAACTGCTGAGGGCATGGAAATACTAAGTCTTCCACCGCGGCGAGCTGCACCAGTTCTGCGAATCTGTTTTCCACACATTCTCTCGCGACTCAAAGGCGTCTCCCGCGCCGCCGCACAGACGCGGCATTACATCAAAATAATCATAAGAAGAATCGCTTCAAGAATCGCATAAAATTCTTGATGCTTAGAGGGAGCGTTCTGGCAGATCTGGACCTGTGGGGATTTTACGTGGAAAGCAATTTTGAGGCCCTAACTAAGGCACTGCCCAAGTGGCAGGTGACTCATTAAGGCTGAGATATACGCCTTCAAACTGGACCCCAGGATCGTATCGCATGGATTCATGTCAGTTTCGCGCGAGGACCCACGCGTTGCGCCATGGATCCATACGAAATACGATCGTGGGGTCCAGTTTCGAGGGGAGTATCCCAGCCGTCAGAGCACTACCTGAGCTACCGATTGGGCAGTGGCTTAGTTAGGGCCCAGTATTTCCGACCTTGCCTGGACGCTGCCTTTAATAGTCTGATGTCACCAAGATGGTGACTCCTAGGATGCATTTAGGGCAGGAGGAGCAGGAAAAGATGAAAGAGCTATCTACTGCTCGATTTTTCTAACTGCGTTGGAGAGCTTGTTTTCTTGAATTTAACCCTGAGGAAAATTTGATTGGCAACGTGAAACAATTTTTTCAACAAGTGCTTCATATGTCACGCTAGTCTGCAAGCAGGGCTCAATTTCACAACACTTCCATATGGACAGCTAATCCGCACGTCATTGCACTCACCTTTTACGAATACCAATACTGCAATAATCCGGAAAAAACTCCTACCTCGTGTTTCCCATTTTAGCCGTGACAACGTTCCCACTCGTTCTTCCGCGGAACAGGGCGTTGGCCAGCTCTTCCGTGGACACGCCAAGCAGTGCAGCAGCTTGTTGAGCATGGGATACACGTAGGAACTGAGCTCTCTGTGCGCTTCCAGGAGTACATCCAGCCGCTTGCAGGTGTAGAATCGCTGCCAGAACCGAGCAGACAGCATCAATTTGACCTTGGTTGAGTCCAAAAGCTGTGAAAGCTAAGATCAACCTTTCCCAAGCCTAAAAAGTCTCATTACAACTTCAACGTTAGCTATAGAAATCTCAATACTAACCTCCTTTGCACTCTGCCTATCTTCTTCCTTGGTGTAAGGAGTGATAGACGGACTTTCTATCGAATCCAACTGTAACCGCTCTCTCAATGCTCCTTCTGCCCCTTCCCAAAGGTAGTAAAACACATGGAAAGAAGCTTCTCCTTTTTCCCTTCGGATGACACGATCAGCTTCCAGCAAGGACACTTGCAGCCGTGCCGACCTAGAAACATAATTTTGAGCTTGAGCAGTGTCAAGAAAAATTTGCGAGATAAAAGCCTGTTATTCTGAAACGGATTGGGAGACCTTAGCTATTCCATTCACTGTATAGCAGCTAACACTATTCATTTACAACCAAGGAATCCGTCTCCGAGCGCTCTCCCACTACCGTACTCTTCCCCTGTGAGCTTTCTTTCACTACCGTATTGGGCTAGAACTCCGACCATTGCAAAATCAGATCAAAATGTGCTGCTGTCATAGCTTATTTAAGGTCCCTTTAAAAGATTCAGAGAGGATGTCAAGCTACCTAAATGTCTAAAGATCTGTAAGATCAAAGTTTACCTCAAAGCAGCAGCTTTATCAAATCCAAGAGCAAAGAGATGTAAGAATCTCGTCGAATCTCGGTGAAGAATCGTTGCCGCATGACCAAAGGCCTCTACGACTCCCATAGCTTGAGCCAGCTTCTCGTCTAGAACGTGAAACTTTTGATTTGAAATTCTCAACAAAGTTCCCCCATGTTCCAGTATTCTCAAATGGATATAATAAAATGAAGATAAGATGACAGAAGAAGACGGAAAAAACAGTAACTTACAAGGCAGCGTTCTCGTCCATCCAGCTACTTCAGACAGGTAATGTACCAGATTTCGAAGTTGGGTTGTTTTGCCACTTCCACTATTACCCGTCAAGACGATACATTGATTTTGTCCTGTCATTTGTAGGTTCCTAAATAAAAAATAATTTATTGAAGGACCACAAATTTCTAGCTTTATTAGCATGAAAAGTGGAAATCGAAATCAAAACTCTGACTTTAGCAACAGACTGGAATTTTCCAACGAGAGACGTTTACAATATAAGATACTTATGGCTGAAAGGAAAGGAGGAATATGATACGCTGCGTTTTAGAAGCTGGTACAGCCAGCAGCGCATGCATTAGTGTAAGACTCTTTTTTCTCAAACATTTAAGAATCGCTTAAACGCTACGCCACTAGGTATGCCAAGAAATTTGCTTCACCTTTTCTGAGTTCAAAACATTGACAAGACCATAAGATGCAAAATGTAAGCTATGTTACTAAAGAAAATAATAAAAGAAAATTGATAAAAAAAACTAACCTGTAAACCTGCTGTGCTGTGGCATAGACATGGGCAGGCATCTGTCCACGTCTGCATCCTTTGAACAATGACACCAACCGATCCTGACCTATGGAACCTTCTTCAGCAGACGCTACACATAGAATACTTGTCAGGCCAGCATTTGTGTACAGTAGGTTACATCCATGCCTCAAAAACAGGGATTTGAAACTCAGAAAAAATGAAAAGAAAAAACCAAAAAATCTTAAAAATCACCTTTGCCTCAGCAAATGCACAGTACTTGTCTCGTTCAGGTAACGTAGAGCAGCTACGTCTCCTACTCGATCCAAATGGGTAGGATTCATCCGATCTATATCAGTGGAGTCCACAGTCATCTCACGTCCTGCCACTTTCACCAACGCTCGGCCATCTGGCAGATGCTCCAGAAGACGGACCATGGTGTACCCGCCTTTGTGAATCAGCCAGTAGCGTTGGTCTTCAGGTATGTCCTTAAAGTGGCAAAAAACGAGTGGAAACCAAGAAATGTAAGTAAGATTACAAGAAATTGCAAGAAAGGGAAAAGTATAGATTTCGTGAAGAATCTCATTTTATGGACATTATTTGATAAAAATAGCCCCCTGTTTCATAAGGAGTGAGACTGACTCAAGCGGCTCGACACTAGCGCGAGCGCCTCGCTTGGGCTTCGCAACTTTTTCGCAAACGTGCTCTCTAATCACTTTGCCATGCTTATATAACGATTGAAGCTCGCCTTTCCTCGCTCTGGCGTGGCAAAATGATCAGAGAGCACGCCCGCGAAAGAAGAGGTGCAGAGAACAAGCGAGGTGGTCGTGAAGCGATCCGCTCGAGTCGGGCCACTCCAAATGAGACAGAGGGTGAAAAAACATGCTAGCTTAAAAGAAAATAATTGGCAATAATTTAGTACTAATTGACGATAATAATAATAGCAAATCAACAATAGTGATAAGTAATAATAAACAATTCAAAAGTGTAGAAAAGATAAGGAGCGGCAATTTAACTTACTTCATGGAGATTGGTATTTATATGGCCAAGCATCAGCTGATCACCATTGTCTCGTACACCACTCTGACGATGTTTTCTATCGCAAAACTCGGCCAATTCAGGGACTGACTTGACTTCCAGGACTAAATTAAGTGCAGAATAACGCAATTTAGACAAAGCATAAAGCCCTAAAAACACTTCAATAAATCGAAAACTTAAGAAACCGACCAATTTTGTCTCCAGCGCTACGTACAGCGTTTTGCAATTCTTCTCGTGACATAGAATCTACATTGCGGCCATCTATTTTCACCAGTTGGTCGCCTGGTAACAAACCATTCCTGGAAGAAAAATCAATGGAATTTTTGAACCAAGAGAAAAATACCAGCAACATTATCGAATATGAGATAACACTCAAAACCCCAGGAAGAAAATGAAGCCTCACTTGAGATCATCTGGACGTGGTGGACCCGCTCGTATATCAGATGGCTCAGCAAAAACTACTGTACGCAAACCTCCTTTCCTACTCGACGGAAATTGAACTCGACGTATAGAAAAGCCAAAATCGCCTCAAAGAAAGTAAATTATCAAAAATAACGATCAAACTCAGATACATATGAACACGACGTACCTGTAACACTCTTTTGCAGCGTCAAAGTTCTGACTTTCACTTGAACTACAGCAAGGGCAGGTAGTGCAAGCCCCTATAAATTGACCATTCAAATGAAAAATTAATTGAAGCAAAGAATAATATCGACGAAAAAAGGAGGACAAAACCAAAGCATCAAACCTAACCTGTATATTAAAATCTTTTGGTGAGCCAAATCCTCTTACAGGAGGTAGCGCCATATCATCGGAATCCTTCGACGAGCCTAAAAACCTTTTCCATTATGTTCAAAGCCACAAATGAAAAAAATGAAGAGGTGTTACAAACCTAAGTTGAATTTGCCCATGACAAACACGCAATTTACTCAAACTTAGAAACCAGTTTTTGTTTGTTTACTGAACATATACATCATTATAGCACAATTATTCAACTCAAACAAGGTACTGGGTTACTACAAATCATCAAAAAAAATATGGATCATACAAGAACAGCTAAGAAAAAGGAACAAATCAATGACATGAATTTTGGCAGTAGCAAAAGCCAAGCTTTTTGCCTAAACTAATGAGAACTAAATCTAACACTTCGTAAGCAACATCTGCTTATCGTTTTTGTGCTGGCACTGGCTGCAGATAGTATAAAAAAAGGCAATGAAGCGCTCTTATCTACTGCAAGATGTATGCCCCGTGATAAGACGTTTATGACACTCTTTTTGTAGCTTCACTTATGCTAAGTGAGTTCCTAAATTCCTATTTTTTATCATATAGAGGTCAAAACCAGTCAGGAAGAGTGATGGCACAGAGCGTCTCAGATAAAACTTGATATCTCAAAGCACCTAGAGCTTAAAGGCATCGTCCATCCAGATTCTCGACTTCCATGTTTTAATCGTCCCGGAGTCTTCTCATGTCCCTGATTACGAATATGAAGTCGAGAATCCGCGAAAACCCCGACAATCCCCATTCCGAAGAGTTCACCGTCCGACTTTCCGGGACGATGATTAGATGCGTGCGCACGAATGGGCGGGCATTACTGGAGTGGGCAGGGCTGACTTGTCGTTATTCCGAAGCGATTTTCTCACTTCCAAAACGACATTTTGCGTCGCGGCTTAGGCACTGGTTTGGTAGGAGGCCCTACTGTCATAAGCTGCAAAAAGCTCAAGACCCCTATCATAAGCTGCAAAAAGCTCAAGACCCCTTATTTAGGGTAAACGGTGCCTCTAAGATGACAAATATTGAATTTGTAATTGACTTTGCTCAAATTACCTTCACCTCTCCTTGAGCAAAGATTGCGCTTTCGATTTTGTACTAGATCTGCGCTTATGATAAACGAAAAAAAAATCTTCACACTAGCAAAGTCAACAAACTGAGAACCGATCTAGCTGGCTGCTTTCAGAGAAAACGAAAAACTGTTATCGAGAATAAAATGTTGTCAAAAAGGTGTTAGATGGATTTTCAACAACTTTTAGAGACTAAAAGAAACAAAAAAATCCGCTCTGAGATAGATAAGATGATACCAGTGGCGACCAGGGTGGAGGGAGGGGGGTAATTTTTGAAATTTACTTACATGGATTGTAAAAATGTGCAAGTGAATTGTTTGATCTTGTAAGCAATCAAAATAATTTTGAAAATTTTGAAAACCAATTTAGCCTTGTAAAAAAAATTTTTTTTTGATGATGTGAACCAAACTGATGCCTCTCAAGCAATCCAGTTTGACTCCAAATTGAACTACCAGCTCAATACTGATATTCTAGGTACTATTGAATTTTTTTATTTTTCGCCCGACTTTACAATTAATATTAAGTTGTCCCAAAAGTATTTGGGCTTTTTTGAGCAAGCGCCACAGTCCGCAGAACAGAGATTTAGAGAAGCTCTTGGTGGTATTCGATGCAGTTTTTCATGCTCTTTCAGAAGGTCATCTTTATTTAGCAGTTGAAACAATGAGCTATCAGAAAATTGCGATAAACTGCGACCCATGCTTTTCACCAAGGTCAGGTTCAACTATTTTTCTAAATTCTGGTACTGATCCTCTGAAGAAGTCCAAGTGACCCGTCGATAGAGCAAACAAAGCAAGACATTTTTTGCCCTTCCATAGCTTACTTTGAAAATTTTACAATATTTTTTTCGATGCAATCAAACTCCATATTTGTTCAACTTAAACCTCATAGAACAACAGCCGGCGAGCAACCGGGTGTTATACGACGCAGCACTTTCTCCTCTTTCATTCGAGAAGTCTTGGAGGATAAAATCGACAAAATTCATGTTTTTAAGGAACCCCAGCCTGTACCTGACAAATCAAAAATTGGATATTTCGAAACCCAGAACGCTCACTTGTTTCGTAAAATTGGTGCTGAATCCTATACAGTTTAAAAGGATCAAAAAACGAGAATTTAGTGGAGTTTGACGAGTCTGCGTCTGGTATGGGACTCCTAAAATTCAATGGTGTTGTTCATCTGTCAAAAACTTATGGAGAGCCCTGGGAAGGAGATCGAAACTGTTTTGTATCCTACTTTCATTCCTCTATCCGCAGGCCACTTGTACTTCTTCGAGGGGTCAATACAAGAATTTAGAAAAATAGTGGAACTTGACCTTGGTAAAAAGCATGTGTCGCAGTTTATCGCAATTTTCTGGTAGCTCATTATCTCAACTGTTAAATAGAGAGGACCTTTTGAAAGAGCATGAAAAACTGCATCGAATACCACCAAGAGCTTCTGTAAATCTTTGTTCTGCGGGTTGTGGCGCCTGTTAAAAAAAAGCGAAATACTTTTGGGACGACCTAATAAATTTCGGCATGTGAATTCCAAGACCCACTAATGTTGAATTTGCTTATTTCTCCTGATAACTTCAAATCAAAGCTTTCAGACAGCATCAGGAAAATTGCAAATTAAAATTGTAGTTTTCATCCAAAATCAAAGCTACCCTTTCTGAGATTACTACTGAGTTTTTGATCATTAGCATGCAGGAAACAGCAAAGCAAAGATTATACCTGACAAGACAATTTGTAAGTGAGATGATGTTTCCGTAAGTTTCTAAAGACGATTTTCTTGAAAAAAATTTCGTTTTCATGATGCTTACACAGAAAAAAGTGGGCATATGAGAAGGCAAATCCTTCACTTCGGTGTTATACCAGCGACCTCAAAGTTGCAAAATGAGCAAGTCACTTTCAACAAGACATTTTAAAAAAGGGCAATTTCGAGAGTTGTTCGAATAGCAATTACGAAGGGCAGGACTCCTCTGTATGGATAGAACCACCAGATTTTTCATTCGGGGCGGAGCTAAGAAGAACAGATAGAATAGAGCGAAAACTTTTTGAGTGAACCAATAGATAAGATGCAAAGCTAAAAATAGGTTTATGATTCACGTTCGCCTTAGAGGCAGTGTCTCAGCAAAATTTCGTTTTCCACATTTTTCTTTTCGGAGCTTTCTCTCCACGAAAAACCCATATTTGGCTTTTCAGCGCAAGAAAATGGCAAAACTGAGCTTTTTACGAAGTTTTCAAGGTTCGCATTCAGTGGAAAGTACGTGTAAGTGGACGAGTGCGAAATGAGGGAGGCGGGGCGCGAAAGACTTTCGGCATATTTTCACTGAATGCGAACCTGGAAAGCTTTAGAAAAAGCTCAGTTTCACCATTTTTATGCGCTCAAAAGCGCAGATATGGATTCCTCATGGCGAGAGGGCTCCGAAAAGGTAAAAAAAAATTAGAGAACAAAATTTTGCCGAAACACTGTCCTTAAACATCTGTCAATAACAAAAATCAATTCTTTTGTTCAAAAGCTGATATTGTTTGAATAGAATTAAGCAAAAAATTTAAGAAACAACCCAATAGGATGGAAAACTCACCTCTAGCCGTGCTAGCCTCAAGCGAATCACCGCTGGACAGTGTAAATTTCGGTCTTTCCACCTTCTCTTGCCGTGGCGTGTCATAAATAGCCTCGTCGTCGACTTTTTCTTTCTTGTCTGTTCTGTGATTTGCTTCTGCCTTGTTGTTTGTGTGCGGCAGAATCGTTCGTTTTGGCGGTACAGGTGGTCTCTGCTTGTGGCCTCCGATCACCGGCACTTCTTCCTTTTCTTTCTTGCGAAAGAACATCTAAAAGGAAACTTGTTGGAAGCGACTAGTGTTGAAAGAAAAAACGGTCACGCCAAAGAATTTTGCAAAAATGGAGGGATATTTTTGGAAAATATTCTAGAAGAGAGAATTTAGAAGCCTCAGGCTCCAAACTATGCCAACTATAAAAAAGTTTATTTTATATCAAACAATGGCTGATAGTCAATCATCTAATAAATAAAGAATCATAAGGACCATTCAAAAATCATCAGATAGCGGGAAACCGAGGGTCCCGAAACGAGCGCGCCTGCAGTCTATCATGTCTGGGATTACTGGTTCGCTAATTATATTAATGCAGAAGTTGTACCAGAACCTGAATATTATGATTTTGATAGTGAGAAGGGTCTAGGAAAAAAGGAATTGAATCAAATTTAAAGAAAAAAGAAAGAAAAGGTTTGAAAGGAATGAAAAAGGACATAAACCCAATTCCCACAAACAATTCGTTTCGAAGTTTCGCAGAATTCGTATGGCTGAACGAACCTAAGCGACGTAGTGTCATAACTCTTTCCAAATGGTATGGCTTTGCGACAAGTGTCACATTCGACTAATGTGATTGTTCCCAGTCTAGCTTTGTACAAAAGATAAAAACATTCTAGGTAGCAAAAAGTTGTGAGAAGAAAGAACCTTACACATAAAGCTTAGAGATTTACGCTTCCATGAGCACGAGGGGATGACAGGTTAAAAAACTCCACCAAAAATAAGACTACGAACTAATTGAATAGCTAGAAGAGGTCGAAAATACATCATCAATATACTTCCTCTAACCTAGCAAGAGGGCATGTACAAAAAAGAATCATAAAGAATCATAACTCCGCAAAACTAATTAAGCTAGCTGTACTTCTAACCATAGATCTCGAATTCAAGACTAAAATAAGAGGTTAGATAAAATCTGATAAAAAGTTCGAAAATTTGTTTATAAAACGAAGTCCTCAATGAAAAAAACGTCATTATCGGGTTTTTGTATCCAATTTATTTCAAAAATATGATCCTAAAAAATGTAGATGAAGGTAAACAATGAGGAAATTCATTTCTTCATGTCAACTTTCTCAAAAATATGAACTTAGCAAAAAAATTCTGCTCCTAAATTCTGCCATCAGCACGCCACATCTAAGAATGGAAAATTGACGCAAAAATCATAATCTTCTATCAAAAGTCGATAGTAGTTCACGTAATCGTCTAAACGAAAGAAAAGTTGTCCCCAATACCATTATTCGGTAAGACGATTGAATCAAACGATTCTTTGCAAGCGCTTCTGATAAATAAAAAGTCTTATTTGTTAAAACCAAGTGGGCAATATGGTGAAGCTAAAGTTGCTTGTAGATATTAGCCACTTCACATTTTCATCGATAGAAATGTCTCAAACTAAATTTGTTTTCCAGCCAGACCCGTTTAGAATGACTCTGCCATCCTGCATGATATATGAACATCAAAATCATCTAAAGTTCTTTCCAAGAAAATAATTCAGTCGGTTCCCCAGCATGATAAAAATGGCTCGCCCATCAAAAACTGCAAGAGCGATTTACAAAAATAGCCAGCAAATGCAAGGACTAATTTGCGGAAAACACACAGAAAATGGAAAAATATGGAATAACATGAACGAGCGCTGGAGTAGTCAAACAGACTATTTGTACACACTCGGCAAAACATCGGACCATTTTGAACATGAACTTTATGAATGACAAAGACCAGCGGTTTCAAATGGAAATTTTATTCACATTGCGAGTTGACGATGAGTTTAGCAATGACGACTGGTCTGGTATTGTTGCAGTTTAGAAAACAAATGAAAAGGCTTCAAAGCAATATTTTTTGCAGAATATTCGGATTGTGAGGGTTTTTAGGTGTTGACAGTAAGTATTGGAACATTTCTGCAACCGGAACTAATCCTCAAAACAAATTTTCTGAAAGTGCAGCTTAAAAAAGAATAAAAGTACTAAGCAAACAAGTACAACGTTTGCAGTTTCTATGCTCAAAAACTTCTTTTCGTATAGTAAGATCGACAAACCCCTCCGCATGTTGATTCTAAGAAAAAAAAGAACAAATAAATGTTTCTCATCCCTTGTGAAAGGCGGAATGTTTGAACAAGAGAATTCACTGCAAGGACGAAAAAAAAAGAGAAAAATGCAAAGATCGCAAATAGCTCAACGTAGCAGCAAAATTTTGTACTTTCATTGATAGGAGAAGTTTAGGACAATCAACGACGGATGTTGATTAGTAGTGACAAGGTGACCGTTACGCCAGTCTACAATGAGAGGTTTTCTGATAAATTACTTGATGTTAAGGGTATGGGTTAGGGGTCAGAAGTTCCATCAAATAAATGAAATTCGCTTTTAGCTATTTGGTAGTATTTTTGCGAAAAAAACTCAGAAATTCTTCTTGCTAACATTCTGATAAACAAAATATTCGATCAGCGGCTAAACTCTCAAATCCAAAGTTCAGAAATCAATATGAATGAAGAGAATTAGTCCAAACCTCTCACAGTCTTTGGCCTCATCTCAATCGCCACTCGTTGGCGGATAACTCACTCTGAGACAAGAGATGATGTATTACTCACTTCTTCAGTAGAGCATTCAAAAAACCAAGGAGGGTTGTCGTGAAGGGGGGGGGGTCAAATATTCTACTAATAAACAAGCAGTACGAGAGCGAATTTCGGATATTACAAAAAATGGACATACAAACAAGGGTGCATGTGCACGAATCAGTAAAAAATATGAAACCTTGGAAAAGCGCTAGCGGTGCGAAGTTAATAGAAAGGAGTGGAAACAACAAAAGAAAAGCGCGCGGAGCACGCGCAAACGGAGTGGTCAGAGCTCCTTGGCGAGAGTAGGGGTGGCCGGGGAGGGGGGGGGGGAGAGGATGAGAGAATGAAAGCCATAGATAACTTTGGTCTGAACCACTTTGCTCCGTCTTTTGGGGTCAAAGACAGGTCATTTACGCTAAAAAATAACTCGGAGCGTCCGGAAGTTCGGCAGGGGATATTAGCTTTGCGGAAGTTCTGCAGAGGTACTTTACTGTCAAAACGCTAAGGCAAACAAGAATGAGAAGTTCTTCAGAAAACATGAATTAAAAACCAGCGCAGAAGGAAGCTTCTCCAGATACAAAACGCATCTTCAACAGTGCACCGGCCCCCAAAAATTCCGCAGAACTTCTGAAAAACTTGCACTTGCTGACTAACTGGTCAATGGTGCGAAACGGTGTGCTCACCTTGTGTATATTTGCACTCGACCGCACAACTTAAAGAACAGCTCGCCTCGCTCTCAATTGTCAACATGGGCAACAGCTACCCCCCCCCCTGCAGCCCTCCCCCACAAGCGTGCTCTTCAGCACCTTGGTAGGGATTAGCATAACAATACTTCTATCATATATAAATTCATAGTGACCGTAAACCGGCGACAATAAGACAACCGCGAACACCCTTTATGACCAGAATTTGCAATTTATACGATTCAAATGCGAAATGCATGCAATTACAACAGATTATCGGATTTTCGGCGCTCGTCATTCCTTTGATTTGCTATTCTACCTCAAAAAAATGAAAATCCGGGTATTTGTAAGAGCTGATGCAAAATGAGCTAATGAACTGTACAGTGATGAGTACAAGGCGACACCCGAACAGCACAGTTCTTCAAAAGCCTTGAATATTTTGACGAAAATATATGGCAGGAATTGTTGTCCGGATAAATCTGCGGCACTTCTTAAAGGCAGCGTTCACCCGAAACTAGGGATCTTGAGCTTTTGACATCATGTGATAGTAGGGCCTCTTATCAAGTGCCCAAATCGCGGCTTTAAATGTCGTTTTGGAAGCGAGAAAATCGCTTCGGAATAATGAAGAGGCAGGAGGACTCCAAGTCGGCACCGCCCCCTCCAGTAATGCCCGCCCATCCGTTTCCGCTCAACCAATCACCGTTCACCCCCGACAACCTCGCGTATTCTAAGAAACGGAGATTGTAGGCACTTTCGCGGATTCTCGATCTCACATTCGGAATCAGGAACATGAGAAGGCCCCAAAACGACAAACACATGAGTGAGAATCTGGGTGGACGGTGTTTTAAGTGGATACTGACACCAAACCATCGCCCATCCCGCAATTCATATGACTCAAGCATGGCCATCCGATCAAACTTTCGTCCATACCGTACTCCTCCCTAATGGAGTACCGTACTCAAGGAGGTTACCCGATTACAAAACATGAGAGTCTGATTGGTTGCTCGGAAAATTACGGTTTCGAGAAAAGTTTTAGGTAGATTCCCTGAACAAGAATAGATTGTAAGATCTACAATAGCTTGGTTAGTACTTAATAATCGCTTTTCAAATGTGAACTAGGTGTGCAAATTTGCCTACCTGACACTGCCTTCAAAGATATATATATATAGACGAAGCCATTTAGACAAGCAAAGAAAAACCGATTATAATTTAGAGACTCAGCAAATTTCTGGAAGATCACAAATATGCCCATACTTAGTCAAAAGAAAAAATGGTTCTTGCAAGCAATGACTGACAATTCTGAGAGATAAAAAAGATTAGAAAATGCGATGATAGCTCAGAAATTCGTACTTCCGGAATGACTTTCTTATCGTCAAGTAATGTACAAATCAGGGCATCCAAGAAAACTGCAATAAATGGATCTAGCACATCCTCCTTAAATGAGGTTACCCAATTACAAAAAACATGAGAGTCTGTTTCAAATAGGATTTGACCTTTCAAGAGGATAGCAATTAGCTAAATCAACTGGCAAAGGAAAAAACTTCCTGGTCTAATGAGCTCTGCAGACAATGAAAAACTATGTCTTCTATCTTTTGAAAGGATTTCGAGTGGAACAAGATCTGAGGAGCAATCACATAGATAGAAAATTCAGGGCTGCATAATTGGTCAGCCAGGAAAAAACTTGCATTTTCGTGAAAAAGGATCAGAATAATATTTGCAAACTTAAACAGTCTTTTAGTCACTTATTGTCTGTAAGAAAAAACCTTTGCAACTTTGAGTTC